GGCATCTGTGCCCTTGCATTGCTCGGCAGTCGGGCGCCGACTGCCGAGCACACTGACGCTTCAGCGGCTGGACCGCTCTGAGCTCGGCCAAGAAAAAAGGGGGAAGAGGAGAGGGAGGATGAGGAGGATGAGGATGAGGATGAGGATGAGGATGGGGGTGAGGATGATGATGATGATGATGATGATGATGATGATGATGATGATGATGATGATGATGATGATGATGATCATGATGATGATGATGATGATGATGATGATGATGATGATGATGATGATGATGATGAGGATGCTGAGGATGATGATGATGATGGTGATGATGATGATGATGATGATGATGCTGATGATGATGATGAAGAGGAGGAGGAGGAGGAGGGAGACGAGAAGGAGGAGGAGGCGAAGGAGGAGGAAGAGAAAGAGGAGGAGGAGGAGGTCCGGAGGAGGAGGATGAGGATGAGGATGAGGATGAGGATGAGGAGAGGGAGGAGGAGGAGGAGGAGGAGGAGGAGGAGGAGGAGGAGGAATCTCGATCCCCTCCCCCACTTCCAACTCATTCCTCCGCCCCGCCTCCGGAATTTCCTCAACCACCCAACTGTCGTTCACCGCGCCCCGGGAGGGCGCGACTTCTCTTCGCGCCCTCACGCCTTCCCCCCTCGAGAAAAGGGAGGACGCTCTGGTCCAGGACCTCGGCGCTCGACTATCTTCGCGTCCCTGCGGCCGCTGTCGTCGTTGTCGTTTTCATGGTCTCTTCGCGCCCCGCTGGTGATCTAGCATGTCGATACGCACAGGAGGAGGGGCTGAGGCAAGAGCAACATGTTCAGGGAAGTGCTTCCTTCACCTCTTCCTTTTCCTACCATTCCTCCTCCTTCCTCCTCCTCCTCCTCCTCTTCCACCTCCTCCAGTCCTTTTCCTTATCAATCACTTCTCCCTATCGCACCGCGAGGCCAGTTTTTAGGGCGGGCTGGGCGTTTCGCCTGAGACTTCCTCACCATTTACGACCCTGAAGCTGGAAACTTGGCAACGGTTTCACTGATAGAGGGCGGGTCGTTTTCACCATGTGACTCTCGCCTTAGCACCGCCCACATTCGTTTTGAAACATGTGCAAGAGCTTCACGGATTGAGGGCGGGTCGTCTTCAAAATGTGGCTCTCGCCTCAGCGCCGCGCACATTCGCTTTAAACATCTGCAAGAGCTTCACGGATTGAGGGCGGCTCCTGTTCAAAATGTTGCTCTCGCCTTGGCGCCGCGCACATTCGTTTTTACAAGCTACAAGATTTCACGGGGTCCCGTGCTCAACATACCAGACATGGTGTGTTGGAGAGATTCAGAATTATGAGAGTGCAGAACTTACGTTGGTTCGCCGTGTTGAAGTCACAGGAATACCGTTCTGGCACGATTCTGGATCGTCAAGACGCAACACTGAGTTGATCCGTGGAGTTGGAGTCCCGAGAATAATGTTTTGGCAAGCTTCAGGATCTGCAAGCGATTGCACTCCAACGAAGGAGTTCCCTCAGTGGAGATGAATCCTTTGTAGGGTCCTGCGAAGAGGGAGCTTGGAGGGAGCCTCCCCCTCCTCCTCTTCCACCTCCTCCTCTTCTTCCTCCTCCTCCTTCCCCTCGTCGTCCTCCTCCACCTCCTCCCCTCCCCCTCCCCCTCCCCCTTCCCCTCCCCGTCCCCGTCCCCGTCCCCGTCCCCGTCCCCGTCCTCGTCCTCGTCCTCGTCCTCGTCCTCGTCGTCCTCCTCCTCCTCCTCCTCCTCCTCCTCCTCCTACACGCAGTCTTGCGGCCAGGCTCGATCTTGTTCGCGTCGGGCTCTGAAGGGGCCAGGCTCCTTTCCCCCGACCCTCCACTGCTAATTAGGGGCCGCCGCGCCGACGGGGCCCGAGAGAGAGAGAGAGACCAAACACGAGGAATGACGAAAGAGAGGGAGAGGGAGAGGGGAAGGGGAGGGAGGAGGAGGAGGAGGAGGAGGAGGAGGAGGAGAAGGAGGACGAGGAGGAGGAGGAGGAGGAGAAGGTTGGAGGTTGGAGGTTGGAGGGTGGAGGTTGGAGGCTGGAGGCTGGAGGGTGGAGGAGGAGGAGGAGGAGGAGGAGGAGGAGGAGGATCGCTCGATGGCCAGGTCGCGCCGCTGGCACGGCTGCGGTCCGTCTGGTGCAGAGCGCTTCCCGCGAGCCCTCCCACCCCCGCCAATCCGAAGGGGCCATGGGACACACGATGCAATTGGGCACAAATTCCCAGGATTCCCCATCTCTCCCATGTTTTTGTCTGCGTTTTCGTCCCCCCCCCACCCACCCACCTCCCATGGTTCCCCATGTTTTCTTAGGAGTCGACGATTCAGCTGTGTCTGTGTGTTTTGGTCCCTCTCCCGCCGATCATGCGCCTCGCCCCCCCCCCGCCGAGTCCCGAGCCGGATCGGCCAGCGGCGCGGGCGAGCGAGAGATGGAACAAACCTCAGGATTGTGAAGTCTAGTCCCAGTTGGGCCCGAAATGGTCTCGTATCGGTGGCGCGCAAACATGGATCAGCGATCCATGGATTTGGCGCGAAGGCGCCAAGTCCATGGATCGGGGGAGGTGCCCTCCCCACAATGCGGCCGGTGCCGCCTCGCTCGGCGGCGGAAATCCGCGAGTTCCCCTGGAAACAGGACCCGCCGCTAATCCACGCCCCCTTGATCCATGTTTGCGATCGCCTGCTCGTAGGCGCTCATCTGGCTGTGGATGGCGCCACCTGGTTGGAGGAGACGGCCCTGATGACAGAGGCGATGGAACAAACCTCAAGCGCGGGCGCCTCGGCCAGGCCGGGCCGGGAGCATCGCGGGCGCCTCGGCCGCCACGGACGGCGCGCCGGGCGCCTGGCCATCGCTTGTTGCGGGACCCCCCGCTCCTGTGTCGAAGGCCGGGTGGGGGTGTCCTCGCCCCCCAGTCGGGCACCGGTTCCGCTCCTCCTCCGCCTCCTACCTCCTCCTCCTCCTCCCTCCTCCCTCCTCCCTCCTCCTCCTCCTCCTCCTCCTCCTCCTCCTCCTCCTCCTCCTCCTCCTCCTCCTCCTCCTCTAGCTCCTCTAGTTCCTCTAGTTCCTCTAGTTCCTAACCTGAGGCGGACCGCTATGCAGTCCCGCCTACACCCTCAAACAGGGATCACCGCACTTGAGGACAGCCCTCGGCCCGCCAGGAGAGAGAGAGAGAGCCTGGCACGGGCGGGGTCCCAAGAGCCATGCACAGCCGCCCTTATGGCTCCGCGAGCCCAGACAATGCTTGCACCTGCGAGGCACCCCCGCACGCAGACCCCGAGGCGCGATTGCCATCGCTCTTCGCGCTGGCCACGCGGGCCTTGGGGTCCACACGCGCAGCGGGCACCGTGGCAGCCCGCGAGACGGGAAAAGGGGCGCCCCAGAAAGCCCCGCTCTGGGGCTCCCGACCAGCTCTTAGGCGATCCAGGGCCTTCCGAGCCAGCCTGGCCGCGTCGCGGCTCTTCCTGGCCAGGGGAACACACAACACGGTGAGGAGGTGCGCCTGCCTACGCCCGTAGGCTGCACACGTCCTACAGAAAACCAGCGTGTCTCCACCCGTCCCAAAGGGCCTGCTCCCAAGAGACCCGTCCCCGCCCCGAATCACCCAGAGCCTGTGGGACGGGTGGGACCTGGCTCCTCCTCCCCTTCCTCCTCCTCCTCCTCCTCCTCCTCCTCCTCCTCCTCCTCCTCTTCCTCCTCCACCTCTTCTTCCTTTCCCCCCCTCCTCCACCTCTTCTCCCACCTCCGCCTTCTCCTCACGATTCTGGGCAAGACGTTGCGCGCAGCCGATCCGGCCACGTGCGACACGTGACGAAACAAATCAAGGCGTCACAGCGTGACCTGGGACGAATCACGCACGTGCAGCACAGCATTCTTGCCAACATGCTTGTACCCACCCCTCCCCACCCCGTCCCCTCCTCCTCCTCCTCCTCCTCCTCCCTCCTGCCTCCTCCTCCTCCTCCTCCTCCTCCTCCTCCTCCTCCTCCTCCTCCTCCTCCTCCTCCTCCTCCTCCTCCTCCTCCTCCACCTCCTCCTCCTCCTCCTCTCCTCCTCCTCCTCCTCCTCTCACCTCCTCCTCCTCCTCCTCCTTCCCTCCGCCTCCTCCTCCTCCTCCTCCTCCTCCTCCTCCTCCTCCTCCTCCTCCTCCTCCTCTCCTCCTGCTTCCTCCTGCTCCTCCTGCTCTCCTGCTCCTCCCTGCTCCTCCTGCTCCTGCTCCTGCTCCTGCTCCTGCTCCGGCTCCTCCTCCTCCTCCTCCTCCTCCTCCTCCTCCTCCTCCTCCTCCCCCTCCTCCCCCTCTTCCTTCCCCTCCTTCCCTTCCTCCTTCCCTTCCTCCTTCCCTTCCTCCTTCCCTTCCTCCTTCCCTTCCCCAGCCTTTCCCAAGTCTTGACCGCCCAAGCGGCCCTCTCGGGCTTGCACGGCCGGGCCGCGCGCCTCCCCCGGAGGGCACGGCTCTCCCGAGGAGCGGGCGGCGGAGCGGCGCCGCGGGGAGGGGCGCCGTGAAGCCTCGCCCGCAGAGGACCTCGAGGCCTGCGCTCCCAAATCCTACGTACGCCCCCCTCCTGCGCCTTCCGCCCCCCCTCTACTTCCCCTCTTCCGCCTCCGCCCTCCTTCCAGGCCCTCCTCCTCCTCCTCCTCCTCCTCCTCCTCCTCCTCCTCCTCCTCCTCCTCCTCCTCCTCCTCCACCTCCTCCTCCTTCTCCTCCTCCTCCTCCTCCTCCTCCTCCCCATCTCGTCAATTATCCCTCTTCTCCTCCTCCTCCTTCTCCTCTTCCTTCTCCTCTGGCCTCCTTCCCCTCCTTCGTCCTCCTGCCCCCCCGTCCTCTCAATCCTCCGCTCTCTTCTGTCCCTCATCCCCTCTCCCTCACTCTTCCTATCTCTTCCTCCTCCCCCCCGTCCTCCCAATCCTCGACCTCTTCCTCCCACTGCCTTTCCCGCCCTCTTCCTCCTCCTCCTCCTCCTCCAGCACCAAGCAGCGCCCCAACCCCACCCCCCGCGGCTCGCATGGTATATGTGCTTGGCGCCGTCGTCCGGCAGCGGCTCTATCTCACACTGCGCGGCCCCGCGCGAGCAGAACCCTCCGCCTCCGCCACCCCCCCCCGCGCCCCGCGCGCCCCAGAACGGGGGGGAGAGGAGGGAAGCAACGCGAGAGGAGGGAGGAAGGGGTGCGGGAGGGACTCTAGGGCTCTGGTCCATGATCCTCCGAACTTGTCCAGACAAGCGCGCTCCACTACCTGCAAAGTCCAGGATCGGCGTGTCTAGACACAAGCGCGTGTCTCGCAGATGGCCTGCATCGGACCCAGGGGATTCACGGCATTCTACACAAATGCAGACGTACAGTGGGGGCGTTGACCTAAGGAACCCTAAATAAGGAACGGGGCCTCTCCCTCCGATAAGTTGAGCTTCGATTTCCAATGGAAAGCCTCAGGACAACAGAAGGCGAACTGCAGAACAATCAAGGAACGCCGAGCCCCTCCCCAACGAAAAGGGTTCCTTCTCCAGGGCCCCGGCTGTATGGTTTTTCGGACGTTTGCGAGTACTCTGGATTCCATAATAAAGTAGGGTTATATTTGGCGGGGGGGTCTGATTTGATCTGTCTTGAAGGGTTAGGGGGGGTCTGGGCAAAGTGCCGCCCTTTCATGGATGGTCTGGGGGGGTCTAAAACTTGTGGTCTGGGAGGATTGCGACCCCCTCCCTTTTACTATGAAATCTGGAGTAGGCACTCTGCGAGCACTGGAACGCGCTAGGCGGGTGCCTCAGCGCCAGCGTATGCTCGTCCACCGAGGCCCTCCAGCACGCCGCGGGGCGGCGCAGCGAGAGCCCGCGCAGGCCCCCCTGGCCCCTCCTCCTCCTCCTCCTCCTCCTCCTCCTCCTCCTCCTCCTATCCTCCTCCTCCTCCTATCCTCCTCCTCCTATCCTCCTCCTATGCTCCTCCTCCTCCTCCTCCTCCTATCCTCCTATCCTCCTATCCTCCTATCCTCCTATCCTCCTATCCTCCTCCTCCTCCTCCTCCTCCTCCTCCTATCCTCCTATCCTCCTATCCTCCTATCCTCCTACCTCCTCCTCCTATCCTCCTTCCTCCTCCTCCTCCCTCCTCCTCCTTCCCTCCCCCTATCTCCTATCCTCCCTATCCTCCTATCCTCCTCCTCCTCCTCCTCCTCCTCCTCCTCTCCTCCTCCATCCTCCTCCTATCCTCCCCTGTCCTCCTCCTCCTCCTCCTCCTCCCCTCCTCCTATCCCCTCCTCCTCCTCTCCTCCTCCTCCTCCTCCTCTCCTCCTCCTCCTCCCCCTCCTCCTATCCTCCTATCCTCCCTCCTCCGCCTCCTCCTCCTCCTCCCTCCTCCCTATCCTCCTCCTTCCTCCTCCTCCTCCTCCTCCTCCTCCCTCCTCCTCCTCCTCCTCCTCCTCCTCCTCCTCCCTATCCTCCTCCTATCCTCCTCCTATCCTCCTCCTATCCTCCCTCCTATCCTCCTCCTCCTCCTCCTCCTCCTCCTCCTCCTCCTCCTCATTTCCTCCTCCTCCTCCTATCCTCCTCCTCCTCCTCCCCTCCCCCTCCCCCCTCCTCCTCCTCCTCCTCCTCCTCCTCCTCCTCCTCCTCCTCCTCCTCCTCCTCCTCTTCCTCCTATCCTCCTTGTCAACCCGGATGATAAGGATGCGCGATAAGGATGCAAGGGCCTTGGACGCCCATTTCGAAGCGTTTCGAGCGGGGCGCGGCCAGCGAAAGTGTCCAAGGATGGACCCAGGAGGCAAGGATGCAAGGGTACCCTTGGGAGGGATGGCTATCCTGAACATGCGGGTCGACTGTAGCCGTGGCTGTTGTTCTGAAGGTGAGCGTTTTCTTGTTCGGCGTTCCGACCTTGGGCGGAAAGAGGGAGTGGGAGGGGGTGGGGTCTGGCTCTGGACCGCTGCTTAGTGCGACTGTTTGCAGCGGTGTGGCCTATGGGGAGACTCCACCTGCTTGAGACAGGCGCCAAGAACAGCCGCGATCTACTCCATTGGGGGGGGGGTGCGAGGGCCCGCGCCGATTGGTAAAATAATGAACAAGAGCACGACGACAAAAAAAAACTGCGCTCTGGTCATTTCTTTGGCTCCAGGCCGGCCCCGCCCAGTGGAGTAGGGGCGAGGCACCTCTCTGGAATCCGGGGCAAGGCGCGCCACGAGACGGGCGCACGCACCGAGGCCAAGAGCAGGAGGAGAACACTGGCGTCAGGTCGGGCGTGTCCTCCTACAGGGGGACTCTGGACGAAACATAAAACATAGTCAAAACATACTCAAAAAGGATCAAAACATCGTCCCCAGACTATTTTTTGACTATGTTTGCGTATTCCTCCTGTAGAGGGACATGCCCGACTTAACACTGGCGACAGGGACCCTGATGATGGGGCCAACAAGATGTTAACTGGCGGTGCGCAGAGGGGGGCAGGGGGAGAGGGGATGGCTTCTTAGAAACACCCCTCGGGGATCTTCTGACCCGGGTCAATCCAAACCCGGGTCCGTCAGGCCTTGCAGAATCCTGCAATATCCTGCAAGATCCTGCACCCAAACCCGGGTCACAGAGAAGGATCCTGCAGGCTCCTGCAGGATCCTGCACCCAAACCCAGGTCAGTGCAACCCTGGCCCTACAGGATCCTGCAAGATCGGGCGCTCTGGCTGACCCCAGTTTGCGTTGATCCCCGTCTCAAGGCTCCCGAACCCCTGCTTCTTAGAGGGCGCCGGCCTTACATCCATGGAGATGGCCTGCGCCCTCTAAGGAGCAGGGGTGCCTCACGCGAGAAACCAATGCTGAACAAAAACCGCCGCTCACACGTGTAACCGCTGCAACCTGGCAAAACTTCACGAATTCGAGGAAATGTCCAGCGAGAACTCATTTTCAAAAATGAGCAACCTTCCATCAGTATAACCGCTGCACCAGCTTAGACGTCCTATGGCAAGTGACCGTGAGAAAACTTCAAGCGAGAAACCGATGCTGACAACAAAAAACTGCCGCTCACACGTGCAACCGCTGCAACCTGGCAGAACTTCACGACCAATGATTTGGGAATGTCCAACGGTAACCCCAATCTGAAAACGGTACTGCACTCCACCCGTGAAGCCTCTGGAAGTGGCTCAGACGAATGCGCGCCGCGCTCAGGCGAGGATCGCATAGTGGAAACGTGATGCCCTCCATCGGTGTAGCCGTTGGAAGCTTTTGGACTGGATGCTCGTAGTGCTATGGTGAGAAGCACAGAGTGAACACACACAGAGACAGAGACAGAGACAGAGACACACAGATACACCTCCACACACACAGACACACAGACACACAGACACACAGACAGACACAGACAGACACAGACAGACACAGACAGACACAGACAGACACAGACAGACACAGACAGACACAGACAGACACACAGACACACAACACAGCAGACACACACAGCAGACACACACAGCAGACACACACACGCACACACACACGCACACACACAGCAGACACACACACACACACACACACACACACACACGCACCGCCCCAGATCCGTGCGCCGATCCGAGAAACCCGCGCGGATCTACGAGAGGTTGTGCTTGTGTCATTATTTGGCCATCGCTCGGACGTCCAGTCCCTGTGTTTTTGTTTCGGCTTCGTGCGTGGTTTTTCCGCCAGGTGATCAAGGCTGCTTCGATGGTCTTCGCCGAAGGACAGATGCACACGTCCGAGCGATGCCAAGACTATGCAGCGCCGATGGATCGGCGAGGGGCCCCCGACAGCGAATCCGCGTGCTCCTGGGCGGGGTGGGTTATCGGGCCCCCGTCGGCGACGAACGGGCGATTGGGGGTCGATGCGTCCCCCCATGAGCCTAATCCCCCAGAGCGCTGCCCCCTGGCTTCCGGGTCATGACTCGCGGGCACCCCTAGAAGGTTCTCGGCGAGGCGCAGCCGCTGGAGGGCATCCCGAGGCTGGAACACCGCGACAGACCGCGGAGAGCCAACAAAAACGTTCCCGAACTACGGCCGAACGTCGGGTCGGCGAACCAGACGCGCCGAGGAGGGGGAGGAGGAGGAGGAAGAGGAGGAGGAAGAGGAGGAGGAGGAGGAGGAGGAGGAGGAGCAGGAGGAGCAGGAGGAGGAGGAGTAGGAGGAGAGGAGGGAGAGGAGGAGGAGGAGAGGAGGAGGATGAGGAGGAGGGGAGGAGGAGGAGGAGGAGGAAGGAGGAGGAGGAGCTAGGAGGAGGAGTAAGGATCACACCGAGCACAATAGGGAAAGGGAGCGAAGGGAGGCGAGGAGGAGGAAGGAGGAGGATGAGGAGGAGGAGGAGGGGGGCGAGGAGGAGGAGGAGGAGGAGGAGGGCCTCGTGGGTCGGGGCGCTTCCGTGACGAGCCCGGCGCACGCCCTGGCAGCGATGCTTTCTGCTCGGCCAGGGCTCTGCGACCCTGGCCGGGTCCCCTCCTCCTCCTCCTCCTCCTCCTCCTCCTCCTCCCTCCTCCCCCTCCCCCTCCTCCTATCCCTCCTCCTCCTCCTCCTCCTCCTCCTCCTCCTCCTCCTCCTCCTCCTCCTCCTCCTCCTCCTCCATCCCTGCCTGCTCAGCGAGCCCGAACAAAACACAGCTATGGGACGCACAGAGACTTGCATGCTGGTGCTGCTGTATGTCCGCCTTGGAGGCGCGCGTCCGACCCGAACATTTCGTATCCCCACCTTGTAGTATATCGTTTCCCCAGCGGTGTGGCCAGAAAGCGCCCACGACGACGCACACACTATAAGATTTCTCGGTGCGCGCGTCGCCCCTGGGGGGGCGACGCACATATAGTGTAAGTATGTTGGGGTGATGCCGGTACTATTTACAGATGATTCGCCTTCCCTCGCAGCCTCGTGGATCGGGACGCGCTACCAAGGGTCTAAAGGTGTCACGGGCCGCCGCGAAGCGAGACCCTCCGGCGGGAGGAGGGCAAGAGATCTGGCCGAGGGCTTGGAGCGTCCAGGCACGAGTCGGGGAGGTGATTGTAGGGGGCCACAAGCGAACCTACCCCCTAACACCCCACGATTTTCTGAGGGGGAGGGTGGGGTTCACTTCATTCGGGAGGTCACGAGCGAAGTGAACCCCACCCTCCCCCTCAGAAATCGTGGGGGGTAGGGGTAGGGTTCGCATGTGGCCCCCTAGATTGCTTCCCCGAACCGCGGCCGCATGTCTCTCGGCGGCAAGCGAAGGGGGGAAGTGAGAAGGCGAAGGCCTTCTCGGAAGGTTCGGAAGTCCCTGGGCCTTCCGATGAGTGCTCTGAGCCTTCCCCGAGGGCAGACAAAAACCTCTGAGAAGGCAGAAGGCGTGGGGGCTTCTGAAAAGTCCCGCCGCCTTCTGAGAATCGGGGGCGCGCAAACATGTATTAGCGATCCATGGATTCGGCGCGCGGTCGCCAAATCCATGGGTCGGGGGATGGGCCCTCTCCAAAATGCGACCGGCGCCGCCTCGTTCGGCGGCGGAAATCCGCGGCTTCCCATGGAAACGAAACCAGTCGCTAATCCACGCCCCCTTGATCCATGTTTGCGATCGCCTGATCGTAGGCGCCCATTTGGCTGTGGATGGCGCCACCTGGTTGGAGGAGACGGCCCTGATGACAGAGGCGATGGAACAAACCTCAGAATTTTGAGGTCTAGGCCCGGTTGGGCCCGAAATGGTCTCGTGAGCGCCCATCTGAGAAGGCCTTCTCCTTCTCTAGGGGGCCACATGCGAACCCTACCCCTACCCCCCACGATTTTTGAGGGGGAGGGTGGGGTTCACTTCGCTCGTGACCTCCCGAATGAAGTGAACCCCACCCTCCGCCTCGGAAATCGTGGGGGGTAGGGGTAGGGTTCGCTTGTGGCCCTCTATTCTCATTTCCCCCCCTCGCTCGCCGAGTCTGCAGCCAACCGACCCGACGGGCCAGGCCTTGTGGATCGAGACGCTGTGCTTCCGGAACAGCGCGGCGATCTCGCTCATGATCATGGGGACGTCCTGGGCGCGGTGCGGGCCCGCCACGACCCCTCCTCCTCCTCCTCCGCCTCCTCCTCCTCCCTCCTCCTCTGATCCCCTTCTCCTCCTCCTCCTCCTCCTCCTCCTCCTCCTCCTTCCCTCCTCCTTCTCCTCCTCCTGATCCCCTCCTCCTCCTCCTCCTCCTCCTCCTCCTCTTCCTCCTCCTCCTCCTGATCCTGCTCCCGCGACGCCTGCTTACTTCTCCTCCTCCTTCCGTTTTCCCCCTCCTCCTCCTCCTCCTCCTCCTCCTCTGATCCCCTTCTCCTCCTCCTCGCGCCTCCTCCTCCTCCTCTCCTCCTCCTAAAACCTCCCACCTCCTTCTCCTCCTCCTGATCCCCTCCTCCTCCTCCTCCTCTTCCTCCTCCTCCTCTCCTCCTCCTCCTCCTCCTCCTTTTTCCCCTCCTCCTCCTCCTCCTCCTCCTCCTCCTCTTCTTCCTCCTCCTCCTCCTCCCCGAAGGCCACGGCTCGCCCGCGCAGCCGGTGGACGGGTCGAGCCATACCCGGCGACGCAGGAGGACACCCCACATGTTTCTGTTGGAGGCGCACGTCGGGCACGAGCGCCTCTCGCGTATGCTCATCATCATCATCATCATCATCATCATCATCATCATCATCATCATCATCATCATCATCATCATCATCATCATCATCATCATCATCATCATCATAATCACAATCATCATCATCATCATCAGCAGCAGCATCATCATCATCATAATCATCATCATCATCAGCATCATCATCAGCAGCAGCAGCAGTACCAGCATCAGCATCAGCATCAGCATCAGCATCATCATCATCATCATCAGCGGCAGCAGCAGCATCAGCATCATCATTATTCGTATTCGTATTATCATTATTTGTCGTGCCAATAATATTATTATATCCTGCTTTTTATCACGACGATTCGTATGAGTTTTATGCGTGCTAAAATCATTATCACTAATACTATCACCATTATGATTATTATTACTGTTATTATTACTGTTTTTATCATTATTGTTGTTATTATTACCCGTATGAGTGATAGTGCCATGACTATCTATAACTTTGACCATCCGTGTGATGAGGATGATGGTTCATATTACTACTAATATTAGGGTGATACTATTAGTATTACGATTACGATTCTTATCAGTATTATTATTGTTATTATTGTTAGTATTATTACTGGTATTTTTTATTAGTAGCAGCAGCAACAGCAGCAGCAGCAGCAGCAGCAGCAGTAGTAGTAGTAGTAGTAGTAGTAGTAGTAGTAGTAGTGTAGTAATAGCAGCAGCAGCAGCAGCAGCAGGAGTAGTAGTAGTAGTAGTAGTAGTAGTAGTAGTAGTAGTAGTAGTAGTAGTAGTAGTAGTAGTAGTAGTGGTAATAGTAGGAGTAGTAGTAGTAATAGTAGTAGTAGTAGTAGTAGTAGTAGTAGTAGTAGTAGTAGTAGTAGTAGTAGTCGTCGTATCGTTATACTATGTATCCTTTCCCGAGCGGTAGACCTACTTTCAACGACCGACGTGTACCTTTCCCTCCTCTGAGACATGCTACGCCCTAGTGCTGTCCCACTTTGTAGGATTGATGGCTGTGCTATCTCCTGTACAGGGACGGGCCCGACTCAAGGCTAGGGGTCGCAGTGCCAGCGCCTCGCGCTGCGCGCAGCGCGCGGCGCGCCCCCGCCCGGGCGCTGGCAGAACTGGGTTCAGTGGGACCTGGTTTAGTGACGTGTCGGGCGTGTCTCCCTACAGAGGGATTTTCGACAAAAAATCAAAAATACCCCCCAAAAGTCAAAACATACTAGAAAATAGTCCCCAGACTATTTTTGGACTTTCTTCTGACTATTTTTAGGGTATTTCTTATTCTTCGTCGAAAGTCTCCCTGTAGGGGGACAGGCCCGACTTAAGTTTAGTGATGTGTACTGGGGGACGCCCCCCCGCCCCGCTCCACTGACCGGAACTGCCGTCCCCCGACAAGACACCAGCTACGACAAAACCTGGTCTGGCGATCCTGGCCAATTCGGGGGCTCCGGGGCCCTACCACTAAAACCGGGTCCCCTTACCTGGGCTCCTGGCCTTTACCCGACCCGGCCCCCCGTTGCACGGCTCTGGCGCCCGTGCCCGTCCGGGGCGAGCAGCGCCGGGGCCGGACGCCGGGGCAGAGGCAGCGGCTGTTGCTGGGCCTGTGGTCCACCACCACCACCACAAGGTGGAGGGGGGAGGGGGTCCTCCTCCCCCTCTTCTTCCTCCTCCTCCTCCTCCTCCACCTCCTTCCCCCCTCCAACTTGTGGTGGTGGTGGTGGTGGAGAACGAGTCCATCAACTGGCCTCCCCCTGCGGAGGAGCGCTGCCGGATACACTGGCGCTGCTCCATGCCAGCCACAGGAGCTGCTGCCGCTGCGCCCGCACGGCACCTGCTCCGAAAGCTGGCTCCGAGGCGTGCAGAGAAGAGTACCGCTTGACCGCTGCACGGGGCAGGCACAACAACTGGGCTTCGGCATGGCAGCGGCCGGAGGTGGTCCGCGCTGGACGGGCCCCGAGAACATCGGTCCAGAGTGAAGGGGCCCTGGGACACACAAATCAATACACACAAATAAAATAATTCCCCATATTTTCTGGGTTTTTGTCTTCCCCCCCACTTCCCATATTTTCCTACATTTTCTGGGAGTCGACGATTAATTGTGTCTGTGTTTTTTCCCCTCCTGACAGAGGTGCGGACCAGGGCAAATCCGCTCGAAGTCGATCCCTGGACCCTCCCAAGGTCGACACCGACAAAATTGTGCCAGCCGCGTCCAGCCGGGCCAGACTCCTGGATCCGAGCCGTGTCTCCGAGTTGCCGTCTCCCCCATATCTCCCCTCCAGGGCCTCTTCCCCTGGTCCTCCTGCCCCTCCTGCTCCGGCCCCTCCTGCATCATCCTGGTCTTCCTCCTGCTGGCCCGCCACAACGCGCAGCCCCCCGCTTCTGATGGCGCATCGCCCGAAGGGGCCGTTTGGGGGAATCCAGATCCTCTGTGACACCCGAGTCGGCGGATGGAACGTAATTCAGCGCAGTGGGAAAGAATGGGTGGGAGGTGTAGGAATTTCAGACATTGCGAGAGCGCACCTAGCAAGCCTCACTCCTCTCTCCTCATTCCGCTCACCACCTCCTCCTCCTCCTCCTCCTTTTCCTCCTCCTCCTTTTCCTCCTCCTCCTCCTTTTCCTCCTCCTCCTTTTCCTCCTCCTCCTCCTCCTCCTCCTCCTCCTCCTCCTCCTCATCATCATCATCATCATCATCATCATCATCATCGTCATCGTCATCGTCCTCGTCCTCGTCCTCGCCGTCGTCATCATAATCATCATCATCTTCATCATCATAATCATCATCACCATCATCATCGTCCTCATCATCAGCATCGTCATCGTCATCGTCATCATCACCCTTTCCATCACAAACATCATGGTCATCATCATCATCATCATCATCATCATCATCATCATCATCGTCATCAGTATCATCAGCAGCATCGTCGTCATGCCATCATCATTAACAGCAGCATCAACATTACCATCACCACCATCAACACCATCATCACCATCACCATCATCATCATCATCACCATCAACAACAGCATCATCATCAACACCATCGCTATCACCATCACCATTACCATCATCATCATCATCACCATCACCACCACCATCATCATCATCATCATCATCATCATCACCATCACGCTCACCATCGTCGCCCTCATTATCATCATAATGAAGGGGCCGAACGGTCATTCGCTGTCCCTGGGTGAGTGGCTGACATGGGACTCCGCGGCACGGATTATGCTTGCTGTTGTTCTGTTGCGTTGTTGCTGTCGTCGTCCCACCCGCGACCCGCCCGCGACCCACCCGCGACCCACCAAAAACCCACCCGCGACCCCACCCGCGACCCATCCGCGACCCACCTGCGACCCACCCGCGACCCCACCCACGACCCCACCCACGACCCGCCCGCGACCCACCCGCGACCCATCCGCGACACATCCGCGACACACCCGCGATCCACCCGCGACCCGCCCACAGTGCTTTAACAACAACATCGGCGCCTTCGGCGGGCCCGTTGTACAATTTGTAAAAATTAGACGCCTGCGGCGAGCTTCTTCAGAGCCTCGCAGACTGCCGACGTCCCCGCCCCCCCCTTTATTCCCACCATCACCACCATCATAATCACCACCATCATAATCACCACCATCACCATCACCATCACCATCTTCACCAACACCAGTGCCATCAACATCGCCATCATACTCATAGTCATAGTCCTAGTCATAATCATCATCGGCGTCCACATCATCACCAGCAGCATCGGCAACATCATCAGCATCACCATCGTCGTCGTCATCACCACCTGCGTTGACATCATCACAACCATTATCGCCACCATCACCATCATCAGTCTCATCATCATCATCACCATCAGCAGCATTACCATTATCAGTATCAACATCATCATCATACTCATCCTCATCATTCTCATCATCATCATCACCATCGACATCGCCATCATCATCATCACCACCACCATCGCACCACCACCATAATCATCATCATCATCATCATCATCATCATCATCATCATCATCATCCTCATCTTTATCATCATACTCATCACCATGACCAACACCATCACCACTACCACCACCATCCCCATTACCACCACCACCACCATGACCATCATCATCATCACCACCATCACCATCACCATCATCCTCCTCTTCCTTATCCTCATCCTCGTAATCATCCTCTTCATCATCCTCATCATCAGCCTCATCCTCAATTTCCTCCTCGTCCTCCTCATCATCATCCTCGTCCTCCTCCTCATCATCCCTCCTTTTCCTCCTCCGCCTCGTCCTCTTGCTCGGCCTCCTCGAACTCCGTCTTCTCCTCGACCCTTCCATCCCTTCCCCCCTGCCCCTCCCCACCTGCTCCACCTGCCCTCATTGGCCTCCCCTCCTCCTCCTCCTCCTCCTCCTCCTCCTCCTCCTCCTCCTCCTCCTCCTCCTCCTCCTTAGCCTCCAGTTCCTGCTCCCCTTCCTCCTGCCACTGCCCCCCCCCCCCTTCCTTCCCCCTGCCCCCCTTTCTCGTGCCCTCTTTGATCTCCTCCTCCTCCTCCTCCTCCTCCTGTTTCTCCTCCATTCCTTTTCCTTAGAAATAACTTCTCCCTGTTGCACCCCGGGGCCGGTCGCCAGGGCGGGCTGGGCGTTGCGCCTGACTCTTCCTCACCATTTATGACCTTGAAGTTTACACATTGGCAACCGTACTACAAATGGAGGGCGGGTGGTTGTCAAAATGTGGCTCTCGCCTTTGCGCCGCGCACATCCGTCTGAAACATTTGCCAGAGCTTCACGGACTGAGGGCGGATCGTTTTCAAAATGTGGCTCTCGCCTTAGCGCCTCGCATATTCGTTTGAAACATTTGCCAGGGCTTCGCGGACTGAGGGCGGGTGCCTTTTTGAAATGTGGCTCTCGCCTTAGCGCTGCGCAAATTCGTTTGAAACATTTGCAAGAGCTTCACGGATTGAGGGCGGTGCCTTTTTGGTTCTCGCCTTATCGCCGCGCAACTTCGTTTGAAACATTTGCAAGAGTTTCACGGGTTCCCATGGTCAACGTAACAGAAATTGCATTTGGAAAGATCAGGACTACGAGGGCGCAGTCTTTACGTTGATTCGCTCTGTTGAAATCCCAGGAATGGCGTTCTGTCACGATTCATGATCGCCAAGACGCAACAATCAGGTTAATCCGTGGCGTTGGAGTCCCGAGAATAATGTTTGGCACGCTTCAGAGTCGTCAAACAATCGTCTTCCAACGCGGCAGTTCCCGTAGTCGAAATGGAGCGCTTGTAGGGGACTATGAAGGAGCTTGGAGGGAGGGTTTATCCCAACATCGTTGATGAGTCTAGGGCTTGCACTGGTCTTCCTCGTCCTCCTCCTCCTCCTCCTCGATGTCTCGAAGTTGTGGGCTGTCTTGCCGAGCGACTGAAGCCCTCGCCCCCTTTCCTTCCCGTCCCAGTAGCAGATCAGCAGATCATCGCTGGGGGGGGGGGGGGGGGGGGGGGGCGGGAGCTGCAAAAGGGGGCGCGCCACATCCAAACGGGGGGGCTACCCCGGGCAGGAGGGAGAGACCGACGGACGGGGACGACAAGGGAGGGCACAGCAGCAGGAGGATGAGAGGAGAAGACTGCGAGGGGGAGAAGGAGAGCATCAGGCACGACGAGGACACGCAATGGCAGAGGTGAATACATGATATGTAAGTAACTCTATCAACAACTTGAAGTGTTTCGACCAAATATGGAGACGATTAACAAAACTTATACGTGCGTCGGCTTTTCAACCGACAGATAGAAGAGGGAACGAGAGGAGGGAGAGGTCCAAGCGAACAAGTGAAACTCCCAGGCGCCCCCTACGACAGTGGCGGGCACACTCCTGACGGGGTGCTGGCCTGGACAGGTCCCAAGATGACGGCACGTGTAGGAGAGAGGCGCTGAATGGGGTCACCGGAGAGCTGGGGCCTTATCGGGCAATGCTGTGCCCATCGCCGCGTCGTGCACCGCTGGCCCTCCTCCTCCTCCTCCTCCTCCTCCTCCCCGTCCTTCTCCTCGTCGTCCTCCTGGCGCGTGCCCAGGGGCGCGCGCCAGTCTATCCTCGAACAGCTGCAGGTCGCAGCCGCTCATGAGCTGCACGGACCTGCGGTAAGAGCTCACGACACCTGTCTGAGCTCAATCCACCTCTTTGGGGGGGAGGGCCCTGAAATGATTGTATAGTGAAAACGTTACAACTGGGACTTCCAGCAGCCTCGACGACGGAACGAGGAGGCCGAGACGGGAGACCACACACGGGGGGAGGTCACACAGCACCACGGAGGCGAGGAGGCCGAGGAACACGGGGCAAAGAGGTAGTGCGCCGTCGAGTCTGGAGCACAGCAGCCTAAAATACAATTCTTCCCTCGGTCTTGAAAACGGGTCCCCGTCACCCATCCTCCAGACATGGTTTTGATGAAAGCAGTGGCCCAGGGACTGGGGAACTTCAGAACTTCGATTCGAACAGCGCTCCAATCTACCCTAAAAAGGGGGCCTCTGGAATCATGATACCACTTTTAAAGCCGAGATTGGAAGGTGGAGTGGGGGCTCGGAGGGAAGAGGTGGAGGTGCAACTCACGAGCTATGACTCTCTGGAGCTCGGCCTTCGGATCACGGGACGCAGTCAAACCAGCTTTCAGGGCCTGTGTTCCAGCCTCCGCCCAGGCGGGCGTCGAAGGGAAGCCACGACTAGCCTCCCTCAGAGTTTCAACCATCGGGGGCGTGTCCCAAAACGAGGGCGACAGCTGGCCCGCCGTCCATTGGGCGAGGGACAATTCGAGCGCTGCCACATCATACAAACGATGGTACAACTTTGGCCACTCGCAGAAGGTCTTCAGCGCGCAAAACATCATAGCGGCCAAATTTGTGACCAGCGCACTCGTCAGCCGCGGACCTCCCCAGCTGTCGAGGTTGAAACAGTCAGCACGGCTCAGGGAGCAGTGCGGAACTGAGGGCACCCTAGCCAAAGACGCATGCTCGACACGCGCGAAGAACGGCGGCAGCACGAAATGCTGTGATATATACGACAGCACGGTGACAACTCGCTTGTTATATGTGTGCGCGGTGACAGCTTGAAGAGCTCGAGACGCGGCTAAGGTGCGATCATAGTGCTTGCACAAGGGGGCACCCCACGAGCAATCGTGCGAGCGCGGCCCCAAGAAGACTCCAAGATACTTGAGACGCGGCAGGATCTGGAAGGCAGACCAGTCGGGCACCTCTTTTTCCAACCAAGCTCGGATCTCACGGACGACCACAGGCGTGCAAGGGGCGTACAGAGGAACGATGCAGCACTTTTTTATCTTCAGCACAAGATTGGCAACCCTGGCGGCGGCGCGGAAGACGACAGCCATGAGACGGAGCACAGTAATCTGAAATAGACAAGCTCCGACATCGTCAGCACAGGCTTTGACCTCACCTCTCCCAGGGGTGACGATAAGGGAGCGGATATGGAGGAGGAAGGGGGGCGAGGCGACAGAGTAGAGAGCACCAGAGGCGGGGCACCCTTGGATGATGCCCGAGGCGAAAAGAAAGCGCTGAGCGTAAGATAGCTGGCGAATGCAGTTTACACATTCATATATAAGACGAAAGAAAACCAGCAGCGGCGGCGGCAGCGTCAGACATTCGAGCGAGCGAAAGATCCACTCCTGCGACACAAAGGGGAACGCTTGCCCAAAATCGAAACCTACGGAGGGGCTTGCGAACTAAACTATTTGGTTTAAGTCCCATGATCCTTGAGGCCGTATCGAGCTCCAGCACATTCATACCAAAATTCCTCCCTGAGATAACCCCCGTTGGTCGCTATCTAGAAATTCTGGGAGTTTTCGGGAAAACGCTGAAACACACACAGCAGTCCTCCTCCTCCTCCTCCTCCTCCTCAATCTCCTGGCGCCCCATCCGCAGCGACAGACGGTCCTTCGCGAGGGTGATGAATATCACCGTGGAATGCGCGTCGTAGTCGTTGCTGAACCCCACCTGTGACGGGGCACGGCGGACTACCCAACCCGATCCACTAGCTACTGCTTCCTCTCGGGCCCTCGGGATGCATGATTCCTGAATTCCGCAAGATCCCTCGGGATCCCTCAGGCAACGCAAGAAAATATGCCCGCGATTCCGGGGGATGCCATGCACCGTGCACGTCTGATTCTTCTGTGAACCTGCGGGAGAGCCTGCGTGGACGGAAGGTTCGGATGTTAAGTTCAGCCAGACTCTCCAATGCATCGTGGAAATCAAGTCGAACGAGCCCGCGTCAAGGTACTCGAGCGCTCCGTCACCCATTTCGCAAGTAAGGTTAGGACGGGCGTGTCCCCCTACAGGCGGATTTTGGGCGAAACATTAAAACTAGTTTTACAAACTACTCCGAAATTTTGGCCAACAAATCCGATCCGGCGTGTGAGTTTAAGAAAACTAAAATTAAGCTCTGCTTGGGGGGGGGGGAGGGGGGGGGTACCTCATTAACTGTCGAATTCAGTGCTCGGCACCTCCCCCCCCCCCTGCCAGCCCCCCCCCTCGATTTC